TGCTGTCATGGTGATGTGTATGGACCGAGAATGCTTCCCCTGCTGGAGTCGGGGGGAGCGGGCAGGGCGGGGGCCACACACACACACACACACACACACACACACACACACAGAGTGGGAAATAAAACAAATTACAGCTTCCTGGTGCCTCCTTGCATCTGTGCTGGGGTGGGACAGACAGGTCAGGACACCTGGGTTCTATTCCAGCTCTGGCGGGGGCAGCTGGGGTCTGGTGGGGTTACAGAAGGGTGGCCCAGGACTCCTGGGTTCTATCCTAGCTCTGGGAAGAGAGGGAGGTTGGGTGGGTTGGAGAAAGGGTGGTCCTGGGAAACAGGACACTTGGCTTGCAGTCCAGCCCTGGCAGGGGGGCATGTGGGCTGGGAACCAGGATGTGTCTGGGTTCTCTCCAGCTCTGGGAGGGGACTCATGGTGGAGAATCAGAATAGATATGGCCAGAACAGAATCCCAGGCCTCACTACCCCAGATATGGCTCTTGCCAAGGGCTTGTGGGAAAACCCACCAGGTTCTGGGAAATCAGGGGAATTCCAGCTGGTCATGCTGGCCGCTAGGAGGCCCCCCAGGGCCATGCATCAGCCGTGAGCACTCCGCTCCCCCCACCCTCTCACCTACCTGGGCAGGCAGTAGATGCAGAAACTCCCACACAGCCTGCAGGCCAGCAGGGGACACTGTGGGGAGCGGGGCAGGGAGGTCGGCGGGGGGAGGGCTGGGGCAGCTGTATCACCCCCCAATCCCCAGCTCTTCAGGAGGGGATTCCCAGCCTTGGGGCAGGAAATCCCAGGAAGGGCTGTTAGTGGCAGGAACATATTACCACCACCCCCAAGCAGGGCAGGAAGCCAGGCTGGGCCTGTGACTGGCCCCTTTCCACACCCCACGGGACCCGGGGCTTTCCAGCCTCCTTGAGACTTCATGGGGTCTTCTAGGCCGGCACCAGCATCGGAGTGGGGGATGGGAGCCAGGACGCCTAGGTTCTAGCCCAGCTCCGGCACTATTGTCGTACCTTCTATAATGTTCATAGGGAACCTTGGGCCACCCCCGTCAGGTGGCCGTTAGTGGTGCTGGCACCCGGCTGGTTGCCGGGCAGGTCTTCCCTGGAACTCTGGTGCATACAAAAAAAAAATTCTTCTTCAGGGGCCGCCACTTCACACAGGTAAGGCGGCTGGGCTCCCAGCTCCGGCAAGGGAGGGTGGGGATGGGGGACCAGGACACCTGAGTTGTCTCTTGGGCGTGGCACAAGGGCGTGGGGTCTGGTGGATTAGAGGTGGGGCTTGGGGAGCATTGGCAGGCAGGACGCCTGGGTTCTCTGTCTGCTGGGGGAAGTTTGCGGGGGGGAAATGATGGAGAGTGCAGTGGGTGACCCCCCTCTACAGGCAGGGGTGCAGTGAAGCGGTGCGTAGGTCAAGGGCAAAGCATTCTGGGAGCTGACTCCCCATTGGGAGTCTCCTGCTCCTCTCTTCACTTTGCCACACTCAACATGGCGTCGCAGGACATCCAATTGCACATGCACTCTGCGATCCTGGCTGCCCCACTGAAGGGCCAGGCTTCTGGGATCCCCACTGCGCATGTGCCGCTCTCCATAAGGTGACGTTTGTGGCTCAACGTGGCATATGCGCAGTATCATGGACTCAGAAGCCAGATCCCAGGTAGTGTGTCACCTTACTGCGCATGCATCTGTGCCGGGGCGACTGCAGCCTTCACGCCACACTTTCCGTATCACTGTGCTCAAGCACCCCGCCCTAGGCCTTCCGCCACGCTCAAGATGGCCATCGGAAGTCGCGGTGGGAACACGTGTGTGCGGCGTCCAATGGGAGGGGGGTTGGTATGGGAACCGAGGGGTGGGAGCACGCTGGGCTCCGCCTCCTTTTGGATTGGCGGGAGACTCGGAGCTGGAGCTGGGGGGCAAGTGGGGCTGGGGGGCAGTTGGAGTGAGAGGGGTCCCGTGGGGGAGGTATCTGCTGGGGGTGGGGTGCCC